AGTGATGAGGCGTCTTTTACCCTGGACGGTGTAAATAATTTACGAAATGTGCATACGTGGTCCCATAATAATCCACATGAGATAATGGAAATGAAATTCCAAAAGAGATTTTCCGTGAATGTACATTTAATACAGTTATGTGGTCAGCTTATAGTGCAGTCAGCCATATTACGTCAACGCTTGCCAGTCGTGTGTCATATATAGTGCTTGGAAACCTAAGGACAATTATGACATAGTGAGCGAGTATTTTGTACTTCAATTTTATGGTTTCATGTCACTCACAAGTTAGTTTGATGTTACGTACATTATTAACATTACAGAATCCACATATTCCTGCCAGTTTTAATATGTATTTTGTAATCAACAAGTGTGTAACACCGGTCAAAGTTTCACACTTCTCTGGCCATTATCTCAGTAACCGTTCAACTTTGGACATAGGTGTTTTGGGTTATATCGGCATAATTTAACATAAGGAACACCCTCCCGAAGTTTGGCACATTCCTCCTGGGACACCCTGTATATGATAGAAGTGAAAGCATTTTACAGTCGCTTTAGGAAACAGATTCAGTTGTAATTTTTGTGGACACTGAATCTTGTTCCTGGGGTAATGAAGTGCAAAACAGAAAGTATTTCAGCCCTTTCTGTTTGGTTAAGTTAGCCAGCAAAGTAGTACATGGAATGAAATAGGGCATAAATGTGTGTGTTTGTTACAGGTGTTGTACCAGTACGCGTAGTGGGAGTAGTTGGCATAGGTCATGTCCCAGGAATAGTACAGCACTGGGGTAAAGTGACTGCTGGAGACATTCCTCCAATTATGAAAGTGCCACCACCAACCCTTACCAGCCGAGTACTGAAGTTGACAGTAAAAGCTTCCTTATTTGGTCTGGTTGTCTGGGGTGTGTCTCGAATTGTTCCATTACCTAAATCGCTGCCAAACAGTATTGATACAATTCGAACAAGTGTGCACGATTTTTTTCACATCGGAGGTGCTGGTCAAGGAAGATTCTGAGGCTAGTAAAACGTGACTTATTGGTAATTTTCTTTTGGTAAGCATTAATGATTTAAAATAAATTAAGATAATAACATTTTATTATTTGACTTAACCAGTTTTTCTTTTCTTTTCTCTCTTTCTTTCTTTCTTTCTTTCTTTCTTTCTTTCTAGAATCCTGTCTGCTGGTACTCTCATGCTTGGTTTTAGTCTCAGGGCTAAAACATACATTGACAGATGTGCAACTTTTAACTTGTTTGCTTCACAGGCAGAAATAAAGCATAGGACATACCTGTTTTCAAGTCCATGGATTTGGATACATGATTCACCATCAGGTCCACCTAATTTTGTTTGAATTGCAAAAGTCAGGCTCACTTCAACATTGGACCAGAATATGATTTTCAGATCATCAGTATGGGACCCTGCTTTGGATTCCATTTAACTGAGTACATGACAGACCATAAGGGCTAATTTAACCCCTCCCCACCTTTGTTGACCATGCTATATCCCAGGTTCTTCAGACACTTACTTCACACCACACGCCCTCAGGTTCAGTTGCAGGTGATTCCATATGAGATTCATGGTGGGAAGAGTAGTCTTCATCTTCATAAGGCTCAACAGCTTAATTTCTTAAACACTTTCGCCTGCTCAACAATTTCCTTCCAACTACTTCTGTCCCATGTGCGAGTTGTTCAGTTACAAATTCCTACGTCCTTTACGTCTTCCCTTACGTCATCTTTCCATCTGATCTTAGGTCGGCCTCTCTTTCTTACCGCGTGTGGCTGCCAGTCATATATTCTTTTAACTGTTCGTCCAGCCTCCATCCTTGAGATGTGTCCAAGCCAACTTATTCTTTGGGCTTTGATGAAGTTCCTTTTATTAGATTATCTAATTCATCATTTGTTTTAATTCTCCAGGAGCCATCATAGTTTCATGATGGCCCAAAGATCAACTAAAAGTCTACGTTTAATGGCTTCTTTAAGTGTCCAGGTTTCACAGGCGTAGGTTACTGTTGGTCGAATTACCATCTGGTATACACGGTGTGTCCAGGTAGTACTCTCTCTCTCTCTCTCTTTTTTTTTTATTTGCCCTGCAATGCCATCTGTTGGCGAGTTGTGGCATTAAAATTCTTGAAGTTTCAGCTATGCCTGTCTATAATTTCAAAGCACAAGCATCGCTGCATCATGTGTTCTGACCTTGAATGTAAAAGTACTGTTCTGACGCTCATCGGAAAATGGCAACTGAACAGAGAGCCAACATCAAATTTTGTTTGAAGTTAGGCAAAACAGCCGGAGAAGCATACGAAATGATGAAAGGTGTGTACGGTAGTGATTGTTTGAGTCACTCAAACATTTTTGGATGATATGGATGATATGCTGTATTTCGTGATGGCAGGGAGTACATTGAGGACGCTTCACCTGCATCAGAGCCAAGAACAAGTCGCACTGAAGAAAATGTGAAAAAAGTGACCAAAATCCTTGCATCAGACATGTGTTTCTGCAAGACTCATCGAGAAGCTTTTGGGAATACCAAAGAGTACTGTGCATCAAATTTTGACTGAGGGTTTGGGCAAACAGAAGGTCTGTGCGTGGTTTGTACCGCACACGCTGTCAGGTGATGAAAAGCATGCTAGAGTGGAACACTGCAAAGACATGTTACGGTTGGCCCAAAGTGATACAAAATTTACAAAATCAATTGTTGCTGGTGATGAGGCATGGTGTTTTCAATATGAGCCTCTCACAAAGCAGCAGAGTGCAGCGTGGTTGAGCCCAAAGAAGCCGAAACCAAAGAAAGTGCACATGCAAAGGGTCGAGTAAAGACACTGCTAACCGTTTTCTTAGATTCCAAAGGAATCATTCACAAGGAATTTCTGCCAGAAGGTCAAACAGTGAATTCTGATTATTATCTCTGAGTCCTCAGTTGTTTGTGGGCGAGAATTCTTTGAATTCGACCTGAATATCAAGAGCAAGGTTCTTGGTCGCTCCTCCACGACAATGCTCCATCCCACAAATCGAAGATTGTGCGCGATCTTTTGGCCAGAAAAGGGATCCCAGTCCATCATCCTCCATATTCGCCAGATTTGGCTCCAGCAGATTTCTGGTTGTTCCTAAAAGTTAAGTTGGCGATGAAAGGAGACCATCACGACACCGTCCAGGACATCCAAATGGAATGTACCACAGTTTTTAAATGCAATTCCACAAAAGGAGTACAGTGACTGTTTTCGAAAACTTTTCAATTGATTCCAGCTGTGTATGGATTCACAATGAGATTATTTTGAATAAAAAGAGTGAAATTTTGAAAATAATTCACATCTTGTATTTTTAATGAACACAGTCCTAACAGAACCTGGACACACTGTGTAATCTTAATTTAGCTGTTTTAGAAATAAGTTTACTTTTGAACAGTGTTAAATGTGCAGCATATGCTTTATTTCCAGTTGCTGACCTCTCTTTAATCTCTTGTTCAATTGTGTTATCTGAATTAACTACAGACCCTAAATATTTATAATGAGAGTTTTGTTCTCTGTTTACATCACTGCGTCTGAGATCCTGAATTATTTGAGGTTTGCTAGAACAGTGTAGGATTTAGTTTTTTTGTTCATTGACTAACAGCCCATACTTTTGCGAGGCTTTAGGAAGAGTGGTACTGGAGCCAATTTTTCTCTGAGTTTCTTGTGTTTGCACTTGCTAATCATCATTTCACTGTTCTTCCATACCCACCTGTCACTGCCACCCGAGGCATGCAGTGGATCTGACCAGGCTGCACATTATCACATGCTTGGTCTTTAAGTTGGGGACTTCATCTCTCCGAACCACCAGTTAACTGGTTACCTGAGTGAGGAAGTTTATTAATTTTATTTCAAGATTGTTGTACTGAGTCCAGCAGGGGACAGGAAAGGGTTAACTGCAAATATAAGGATGTTTCTTTACAAAGATGCTAGACATAACAGAGATATTGGGTTTTTCAGACTTCATACATCGTCCTGGTTTTAAGATAACTAAGAAAAACACAACGTTTCGGAAACTGGATCTGTTTCCATCCTCAGGTGAGGTGGGTCCCTCAATCACTGGATTGGTCCAGTGATTGAGGTTAGCTCTTTCTTAGGGACCCAACAGAATAGGTGTTTTCCCTCACCTGAGGACAGAAACAGATCCAGTTTCCGAAACGTCGTGCTTTTCTTAGTTATCTTAAAACCAGGACGGTGGATAAAGTCTGAAAACCCAATATCTCTGTGTGTTATACACCATCGTCAGAATCCTGTAGTACCTACATGCTAGACATAAGCATATTAAAATTACTGACATGATTTGATGGTGAGGTTGTTCTGGTTACTATTATTCTTTAAATTAAGGTAACATTTCTCCTGATTACTAATTTCATACAATACTCAAGAGAAAATGTATTTTCCTGTTCAATTGGTGGTGGCAGGAGTGGCGGCAGTAGCAGTAGCATTGTTGTCGTCGTCGTGGCAGTAGCTGTAGTTGTGGTGGTGGTGGCGGCAGTATTAACTATACCCTGCATGATCCCAGAAACAGCCAGGCAGAGGGCATGAAAGCATGGAGTAAATATGGAGACAGAAGAATTTTGTGTTATGTAGATATTACCATATTTGGCTGGTTATAGTCTTATGAGACCACTCCATTTAAAATTGTGGTCCACACAGGCTTTATCAGTAATTGTTATTTTATGTCCACTGGTATTGCCTAAAACATTTGTTCTCATATGTTTTCTTTTGTGTCAAACCATTCAAAAGATATCCATTTTCTCCAGATTTTGATACCTTTGCATCTGGTGTCTGAGAGAGGATTTATATTTTTGTTAATTTTCATCTGCAATAAGCAGTTGCACTCCAGATTTTGAACAAAACTCATCTCTTTATTGAATCATCTCATTCTTTACTCATTGGTTTATTTCACTGTTTAACCTGCTTAAGGATGATGAGCTGGGCAGAGCATGTATCCTCCACAGGAGATATGAGAAATGGATATGTTACAGAATTTTATTTAGGAAGCCAGAAGGGTAGAAACTGTTTGGGAGATATAGACTTAGAAGGGAGGATAGAAAATATGGACTGTAGTGATCCGGTGCAGGATAGGGATCAATAGCATGGTAATGATCCTTTGGAATCTATAAACATAGGAATCTTCTGGATCAGGTGAGCAGCTGTTAACTTCTTGACGACTCTGCTCTGTGGGGTTCTGTATTTTGTAATGGCATTTATCATGTGAACACACACACACATATGCATGCCCCTCTCCCCAATTTAATGTTTGAAGTGTAAGTGTTGTGAGGTGATAAATCTTTAAAGATGGGGTACTTCTTTAATGCAAAATAGTTTACCAATGCATGTGAAACTTGGTATGGAGATAGATCATGATAGTTTGTTCATATTTACCAATATGAATTTTGCAATATGGGCAAACAGTTTCATTATAATTGTTCTGATAATAAAATATTGCATGTTTTCTTTTCAGTGATTGGATCTTGGGAACCAAATAAAAGAACTGTTCTGTTCATAAGAGCCCGAGAAAATAGTGTGGAGGACTGATTGTCATTCTCAGAGTTGTGGGATTTGGTGCTGGTTTCATCTGACTGTGATTAATTGTAGTGTTCATTTCCAGAAGGAAATATTTTTTACTGAAAATCGAACTAATTTGTACTGTCTTTAAAAAAAATAAAATTGTTTGTTCAATCTTGTAGACTAGAGAAATTAAAGAATCTCATACAGTTAGGAGTGAAACAGGAAGAGATTACATTTGGAAGAGTGAAAGAAACGAAATATTATCAGTGTTATTTTGTGTATTGTTATATGAAGAATTTTTAAGTCACAATGTTGAAAAGTTCTAACATGGAAGAATATAATTCCAGTGATGATTGCTCTGCCATTGAAGATTATATGATTGATAATTATCATCATACTTCACCAGATATTTTTTACACAGCAACAAATATTCCAGGCCCTGGGGCAAATACTGAAGATTTTAATACACAGTTCATGGGTGGCTGTGCTTGTAAAGAAGGAAGATGTCATATAGAAAACAATTGCCCATGTGTCAGAAAATATGGTGTAAATTATGATAAGAATAGTAGACTGCTGGATTCCAAATTCAATGGTCCAATTGTTGAATGTAATTCCATGTGTGGTTGTAATGGCCGGGGAAGATGTGGGAATCGTGTAGTCCAGTTTGGACCAAGAGGTGGATTGCAAGTGTTTGAAGCAAGCCATAGTAAAGGATTTGGCTTAAAATCAGAATCCATACTTCTGAAAGGTGACTTTATATGTGAGTATGCAGGTGAAGTTTTGAACATGGCAGAAGCAAGGTCCCGTGCTAAGGCTAATGTTGGGAAAATGAATTACATATTTGTTCTGAATGAACACCTATCACAAGGACATGTCCTGAAAACTTATGTGGATCCAACAGTGATTGGTAATATTGGGCGATACATCAACCATTCCTGCCAACCTAATGCTGTAGTTGTTCCTGTAAGAACTGACACCCCTGTCCCAAAACTTTGTATTTTTGCATTAAAAGAAATTCATATTGGTGAAGAGATCACATTTGATTATGGTGGTGGTAACAGTAATGAAGTGTGTTCTGTGCAGGGTGGGCTGATGCATAGGAAGTCTTGCTGTTGTGGAGTGGAAGTATGTAGAAAATATTTGCCCTATGATGAGACCCTATTTTAATGTTTGTACAGTATTTACTTTGTTGGTTCTTTTAATATTTTACTGCTTGGATTAATATAAAAATGTATTTCAGTGTTAGAATGGTTTGTTAATTAGGTACAAATCCTAAGCCTATTAACTCATAAGTTATGAGTATGTGTTTATAAACAAAGATTTATGACCAAATTTTGCATCATTCTTTCTCAGAGTCTTTCCCTTGATGATAATATAAAAGATGAGTTTCAGATATCCTTCTAATGACAGCACAAGAACTAGGCCAGTTGTATTAAGTACATGCTATGAAATTTGTTGAATATACAAAATATCATTAAACATCTTTCCTTTGAGCATTAATGTTGTTTTTGGAAACAAGAAGTTGGAGGGAGTGAAATCGTGGGAGTCAGAGTGAGAGACTGCAGCCATGTTGCTCATGGCTGTGAGCTGTTGGACAGACAGACAGATTGGTGAGAGAGGGCACAAATCTACATTTCATCATGTCTCAGGACATTTTTTGCAGTCATTTTTCTGTGGATGCTCTGATGTTGCCAATTGACTGTTTGGCCTGTACAAATAGACACATGATGCACAGCACAAAATAAGATCAACATGCTCTACAAATGCTGCTCATAACAAGTCACATGTTACAGAAACTGAAAAAATACTTGAAACAGAGTTTGAAATGGAATTTTGTGTAAACTCTCTGTTGTCTTGAATTTTTTTTAATTGCAGTACACGTTGTTCCTGTACAGGACTAATTTAACATAGAATGTCTTATATAAGACGAACTGCTCACAGAAATATTCACTATCGTCACAAAGCCAAAAGAGCCTTACTATAGCATTCTTGTAAGTTTTCGGAAACACCTCACAGGATACTCGTATGTTATGGCAGTCCCCATTTCATTTTGAGTGATTAAGTCTGGATTCCTCTATAAGACTCATGCCCTCACATATCCACTTATTCCACAAATTTATGATATGGTATCTATACTGTGTTGTAGAAAATACAGTACTGTGCCAATTTGACAGTTTACATAAATTTACTCCCTACGTTATCCACATAATATCCTATACATGCTCAGATGTCCTGATTTTGTCCACATCTTGTACAAATTGTTATTGTACATAATCGTTGTGGAATGGATTGCCATGTTGCAATGAAAGAGATGCCTACACTTCAGTCGACACTGCAGTCTCAGCCTTTACCAAAAACAAATTTCCATTGATAATAGCATACATATTTAGTGACATCATGATTTAATGTATATAAGAGTGGATCAGTAATGGGATCATCTGTGGAACTTTTACCCATTTATTGCGTTTGATGTGATTCGGAATAATGTATGGCTGCATATTAATATGAGGGTGGTGTACAGAATGTACCTGGGTACAAATGGATTGTATGGTGAAAATGTCAGAATAATAGCTGTTAGTGAAATTTATGAAGTGTCAACCACCATCTGTTATACTTGGTCACGTTGTAACTTAAATAAATGCATCTGTATTGTTTGGTAGTAAACTGGCTAACGACATTGTGTTGTGTTGCCAGTTGAAGAAAAAGAGAAGTTGAATATTTTTTAATGTTATTTTTATGGGCAGCCTTTGTCAGAAACATTTCCTCTTAGGTAACAACATATTCATTGCATATTATTATTCAGTCAAGTGTAGAATTTTTGTATAAATGTAGTTGCCTTCCCATGACTTTCCAGGTAATTATGATTAGGTTTACTGACAAAATCTGTTCTTAAACAATCTTCCATTGCAATTTCAGTGGGTTTTTTGCTAGTCTACAATTAAAAGATCATTCTCTTAACATGCCTGTAACATAACACTGTGTAGCAAGGAGCTGGTAGGGTATTCTGAATCCTCCCTCTCCCTTCACCCACTTCACACACGCCATTACCCGCTACACTGCGTTAAACTCAATCGCCTCCTTCCATTGATGGTTGGGCTCCAGCAGCTATGCCCAGTTTTTATCAGTTTAGGTGGCACAGTGGCAATGATATTTGACCTATAATTCCCAGGTTTATGGAAAATGGGGTTGCGAGTGAGATTTTTGAAACTAGATCCAATCAAACTGATAAGGTCTTCAGACTGCAGCTACATCAAGATGGTGGGGTTTTACAATTGAAGGATCAGAACAGGCTATGAGTGAAGGATAACTCACTGTTTCCAACTGAATAAATCACCGCTATCTAGGAGATTTTAAGAGACTTTACTTGTTTATCACAGAGAATATGATTAACACTGTTCAAAGCTCTTCAGACAACACTTCAAATCAAAAAGGCTTTCTGAACAGTGAACTCACTTGAAATACATAAGGAACAGAACCATCTGAACATCTGTTGTATGCTGTGGCCTTTCCTCAAGAAGCCTTCCTTCATGATGACCTGTCGCTCCTAATAGATCTGGTAAAGGTTTGATAGCGCAGCTGGTCAGGAAAAACATTCCTAACCAACCAGCTTCTCACATTAAATGTAAGCTACTAATTTGAGGAGGGGAATCCCATGTGGTACTTGCATATATTTAATGAAGCCCTGAATTTTTCATGACAGCTTTCCCACCTGTCTCAAACTCTGAGCAGTAGTCAGTCATTCAGAATGAAGATAATTGTTAGTACTGTGGTATACAATTTTCTTTAAAACTATTTCTATCTGAAAGTTCTTCCATTTCTCACAAATAGTCTCCATTCTCCAGTTGGAGGTTCCATCTCATCACAAATTGGACACTTGTCTTTCCTAGTTCCTTTCCTTCCTTATTCTCTACTGGAGCTACAACCCTGTGTGCAGGTTGGCCTCCTCCATAGTTTTGTAACAGTGGATTTTTCTGTGTTTAGATTGTTAGCCCAATGCCCAACCCCCAACTTGGAGAACCATGAACTACACTTCATCTGGTCCCTACCCTTTGACCTGTCTGGCATGGGTGGCTGTACTAGGAGCTTATGCTCCTGCCAGCACAGCTCTCAGCGTCTCTCAGAATCATTCAATTTTACAGTCATCATCATCGTTCTTTAGCTCCCACTGGAGCACAGGGCATTAACAAAATGTCGCCATCTCACACGGTTCTTGCTGAGTTGTTTAATTTCTCCCCATGTCTTCCCAGCAGCCAAGGCTTCCTCTCATATTGTTCTCTGCCAACTCCTCTTTCTCCTTCCCCTTTTCCTTTGTCCTTGTAGCTTCCACTCCATAGCCTCCTCGATTGCATTTTCCTTTTGAAGAGTATGGCCAATCCAGTTCAATTTACATCTGGTTATCCGTTCAGTTATTGTTATTTCATTTGTCTGTTTCTATAGTTTATCATTTGTTGTTGTAACTAGCCATCTCACCTTTACTATTCTACAGAGGCATCAATTTACAAAACTTTGTAATTTTCTGGGTAGACTCATCACAATTTGACAGTAAGTCCACATATTTCATAAATATTCCCCTTATTTATAAGCTAGTTAGTTATTTAGAGAGGGTGGGTTTCCCCATGCACCCCGACCAGTTTGATCTATTGTGCTTCCCTCTATGATATTTTATCAGTCTCTATACCCTACCGATACTGGTGCTTACCATCAGTCCCGACCAAGCCAGCGAGTTCGGCCTGTACTGGCTTGGCGGTATCTATAATGCTTCCCCCATCTATCAGAGGCGTTAGAGACTATTGTTGGGCAGGAAATGTCCTTGAATTTGGCTCAGTGACCTCCTTAGGAGATATGAGGTTCTTTTACGTGCCGTAAAGCTACGACACGGGACCCACGGCTTAAAGTCCCTCCCGGAGGACTTGTTCCCTGAATTTTTTCACCCTTAAAAATTCCACGACCTCTGCCGGGTTTGAACCCACGTACTACGAGTCATGAGGTGGGAACGTTACCTCTAGACTACGGAGGCCACTTATTTATAAGCTAAGTCTAACCTAAATCATCATTTACTCTATTTACCCAATTATCAGTCTCTTAATTATTCATTTCATAACTTACACAGCCTTAAACTGTATTTACATTATTCAGGGATGGCACATGGTACCAATACATGCAAATTCTGACTAAAATCTTGCCACATCAGCCATCCCAGCCAAATTATGCTTCAGCCATGGCATTAACTTTAATGTGGGGAAACTAAGAATCCTGTTACAAAACCTACCCCATCATTTCTTCACACCTTTTATGAACTCATATTTCAACTGCACACATCATCTTAGACTTGATTAACATTTCATATGCACTTTCTAAAGTATTCAATTCCATACAAGAAGCGCTGGAGAGACTTCTATCCATAGTACAGTGATTGATTGCCCTCAAGAGGAATCTGTTCTTTTGTTTGTCACATTTGCTTGCACTCTTAAAATTATTCCTGTACTTAGTTTTGTTCACTAATCTGTTTTCTTCCTCTGAAAGTGCCACTTCTTGTCTTCCTTCAGTGCCCTTTCAGTGGCCACTATGTTATTCTAAATTATTTTTACAAATCCCAGTCTTAATGCAGTACTTAATACTGGTATTTTTCATGATAGATTAAAATTTTCCATTGTTAAACCACTATTTAAAAAAGGGAAAACTAATAAAATATCCAACTATAGACCTATATCATTGTTGACTTCTTTTTCAAAGGTAATTGGAAAACTCACATATGTGAGACTTATTACTTGTATTGTAATTTGTTGGTGCGTGAACAGTATGGTTTTAGGAGACACTCCTCAACTTAAAAGGCAGCCTTTACATTATTAAATAATATTTTAATTGCAATGAATAATAAGTTAATGGTGGGAGGCGTTTTTTGTGATTTACAAAGGGCGTTTGATTGTGTTAACCATAAAATATTATTGGATACATTGGAATTCTATGGAATTGAAGGAAAATTCAAAACACTTGTTGGATTTTATTTAACAGGTAGATATCAAGGAGTTGTATTGGGTAATAGAATTGACAGGAACAACTCATCCAAATGGGAAACAATTAAATGTGGTGTTCCACAGTCAATTCTTGGTCCCTTGGTTTTCTGCTTTATATTGTGACGTGTTATCTTAAGTCCATCGCCGTGACAACTGCTACAATTGGAACGCACACTTCCACAACAACGAATACCTGGAAATTGTTGCATTCCCACAGTGACAAATCGTAACAACAAATTGTCATTGAGTAATAACAAAAGAAACAAAACATGGTATAGGACTTCTGTGACAACAGAAGGTTCGTTATGTAACAACAAACTGTTAGAAGCATTGAATATGGTGTTCACTAAGTGGTTCGAAGAACCCATATATAATGGGTTGAGGGCATTTGCTGACACAGTTGAATTCTAGCAATTTTTGAAGACAGTGAAGTTCCAGCCTTCGAACATAGTTGGAAGATAGCCGTCGTCGAGTTCAGT